CCCCCAGCTCTGCCGGTGCCCCTCACTCCTGACCTGCAGCCCCTGCCCCCCCCAGCTCTGCCGGTGACTCTTTCAGATTCTCGCCCCCAGGTCGGGAGGATTCGGTGTTGAGCTACGAGACAGTGATGCAGATGGAAGGTGAGAGTCTGGCTGGCTGCCAGCAGGGGGCGCTGTGCGGGGGGGGGAAATGGGTCTCTCCCCCATCACTATTCTCTCTCTCCCCCCCAGTGCACTATGCTCGCCCCATTATCATCCTGGGGCCCACCAAGGACCGAGCGAACGACGATCTGCTCTCCGAGTTCCCTGACAAGTTCGGCTCCTGCGTCCCCCGTGAGTCCTGCTGGGGGCGCCGCCGTGGGGCACGGGGAGGGTGCCGGGCTGCAGGGGGGTGGGGCTGCAGGGGGGCGGGGCAGGGGGCAGAGTGGGGGCTGGGCAGGGGGCGCTGGGGTGCAGGGGAGGCGGAACAAAGGGGTGCCAGGCTGCAGGGGGGCGGGACGGGGCAGAATGGGGGTGGGGCAGGGGGCGGGGCTGGGGGCGGGGGGGCAGGGCAGGGTGTGCCGGGCTGCAGGGGGGAAGGGCAGGGTGGGGCGGCACCGGGGCAGGGGGGTGGGACAGGGGGCAGGGTGGGGGGGGCCCAGGCTGCAGGGGGGCGGGGCACGGTGGTGTTGGGCTGCATGGGGGAGCGGGGCAGGGAGTTGCCAGGCTGCAGGGGGCAGTGTGGGGGTGGAGCAGAGGGGCGCCGGGCTGCAGGGGGCGAGGCAGGGGGGTGCCGGCCTGCAGGGGGTGGGGTGGGGCAGGGGGGCAGTGCAAGGGGGCAGGGTGGGGGCTGGGCAGGGGGCAGGGCGGGGGGTGACAGGCTGCAGGGGAGTGGGGCAGGGCAGTGGGGCCCCAGGCTGCCGGAGAAGGGCCTGACCCCCCCTGCCCGCCCCGCCAGACACCACGCGGCCGAAGCGGGAGTACGAGGTGGACGGGCGGGACTATCACTTCGTGGCGTCGCGGGAGAAGATGGAGAAGGACATCCAGGGCCACAAGTTCATCGAGGCCGGGCAGTACAACAGCCACCTGTACGGGACCAGCGTCCAGTCCGTGCGTGAGGTGGCCGAGCAGGTACGGGGGGGGATGGGGAGGGGTCAGATGGGGGAGGGGGCACGGCAGGAGGGGCAGCGGG